AATCTATGACAATATAGAAGGGAAAATGTGAAATGCAGGCATATGAGATGTTTAGAATTTAAACATTACCAGAAACAGTTTAAGAAATTGTTTGTCTTTGTTTTATGACCATTATGTTGTCATCAATAGAAGAACAGAAATCAACATTTACATAAATGTCATGACATTTCTATAAATTTGATCTCTTTTCCTCTGTCTAGTATGTAAAATCGGAGAAAAGGTACTCCATTGTCTAGTTTGCATTACAATTTAAAATTATATGCCATACATTTGATAATAGGGCAGTAATACCAGTGTTATTAAACTTGACAACAATATTTTGATATGTTTGAAAATTTCATTCATTTTGAGTCCATATATGATTGGATTTAAAAGAGGATGGAATAAAATTGACTGAAACGTCAATGTCAAACGAAGAGTTTTGGATAGATCAGAATCCAGTCGAACTATAATTATATCAAAGAAAATAAAACAGGAAAAGTTGATTAACACCAGCAGGTGGGGTAAACATGTCTTTACAGCTTTTTTCCTCACTTCTCTACAACAATGGTAAGATATTCTAAGAATCCTGATGTATGTAAAAAGTATGAAAAGCAAAGGTAGAAAGGCAATGTTTATCAACATGACCACACCATATATAGATATTGCGACCGAGGGCACACACTGAAGCTTGTAAAGTGAATTATTACAAAAAATTCCTGTCAGGGTAAAGCTACAGAGTTTGACATTCGAATACAACACACCCATCACTGAGGTTTCAAAAGCAGGTATAAGCCAAGCTAAAATCAGACATACATAAATAGTTATTCTATTCATAATAAATGGATATTGCAGGGGTTTACATATAGACACATACCTGTCATATGCCATTGCTGCCAACAGTAAAAAGTCTGAACCAACCGAGGTGTAATATGACAAACTTTGGAAAAGACAGAGTGGATATGATATCATCTGTTTTTCAGACAAAACATCAGATAAGAGCTTTGGATAGATAATCATGCTGTAAAGAACAGAGTTGATTAACAAAGCTGCAATAAATATGTACATTGGCTCGTGAAGGTTTTCATGAGTCCAGATAAGGAAAACTATAGTGGAATTAAAGCAGAGTATCAGAATATAAAGTGTAAATATGATCACAAAATAAAGATACCTGTATTTGTGCAATTCTGCAAACCCACCTAGAGTTAACAATGTTACATTTAATTCAACATCCATTCAATTAACAAAAATGTTATTTACTATACAACTAGATGACATAAATGGTATTCATTAAAAAACAAATGAAAAGACAAGTCTTAATGTATTTGTTACAACACACTCTGCTAGGCGTCAGGGGAGGAGTAACATAAACAAGCCCCCCACACAAACTGAGTAAAGTAAAAAGTTTTAATTTCAAACTTTAAACAGAAAACCGACAGGGCTGTTCAACAGACCACTGGGCATATAATTATTACATAAAGAACAAACGAAACAGTCACGCGTAAAAGCTAAGGATTAACTAAAGCAGGCTGGCAGCACACAAAATAAAAGCTAAGGGTAACTAAGGCAAGCCAGCATCACAAAACTCTAATGAAACTAAGTTCAGCTGTATATCAGGTTTAAACAAAGAGCAACACAGCAAACAGGTTTAACAAACAAGATTCACATGCAGAGCAGACGAGAAGGACACTGCATGTTCACTTCAGAGCAGCAGTTCCCCCTAGTGTGAAGGATCTTCAGCCTTTTATACTCCCAGGTGCAGACAATCAGCCAGTCAATTGGTCATGGAGTGGTCATGGGATCTCCAGGCAGCCAATCGTCCGCGAGGTCTGGCACACTGTGATCTGCATAAAAGAAGGCTGGCACAGGACTCCCAGCAGCCAGTCATCCACGAGTCCTGGCACACTTAGATTTGCATAAGCACAAAAGGGTAGTCTCACTCTCTCCAAGGCCCAGGGCCGTAACACCACTCCCCTTAAAATACAAGACTACGTTTTGTATATACAGATTTCAATATTCATGACAGACAACAAAACAAGTCATACTCACAACCGGGAGAGGCCATCAGCTAGTACATTTTCTGATCCTTTTATATGCCAAATCTCCAAATTGTACTCTTGCAGCAGCAAGCATCGCCAAATAAATAGGGGTACTCATGGACCAAATTAGCTATGTCTTCTTGTTGCTCGGAATGATTTTAACACTTCAGAGTAAGGCAAGCGGGGCTTAGAACCACTGGAGTCATTCAGTTTTAAACCATCAGCCTCGTCTGTGCTTTTTACCTCTGAGTGACTGAAGACGGCCACAGGAGCACAGCTCCCAGTGGGTTTTGGTTAGGGTCGGGAGTGGTATAACTTTAACATGATTATATGGCAAACACAGGTTTTGTGTCTTCGATTCGGCGTGCTGATTATGTAATCAGTTTCTCCTACTTGTTCGTGTACCTCATAAGGCCCCTCATACTCAGCAGAAAGAGATGATCCGGGGACAGGGAAGAGGACAAGTACTTCATCTCCTGTCTGGAATTGTCGTTTGACAGCAGCCTTATCATAAGCGTGTTTCATTTTTCCTTGTGAAACAGTGAGGTGCTGCTTAGCCAGAGCATTAGCCTGACTCAAACGCTCACAGAAATCCTGCACATACTTGGTCACTCCCACTCTAGGGCTCCCTTCCTGGATCAAATTTCTCTTTCATTGATTTAAGCGGGCCACGAGGCGTGTGGCCAAACACTAGTTCAGAGGGACTGAACCCGAGTGACTCTTGGACAGCTTCGCGAGCAGCAAACAACACAAAGGGAATCCCTTCATCCCAATCCACTTTGGCCTCTAAGCAATACTTGCGGAGCATGGCTTTTAAGGTTTGATGCCACCGCTCTAAAGCTCCTTGGGATTCTGGGTGATAGGCAGAAGACACAACCTGTTTGATTTGTAGGTTTTTAGCTACTTGCTTGAATCATTTAGATTGAAAGTTAGAACCTTGATCTTTTATGACAACTTTAGGCAGTCCGAATGTAGAAAAAACTTAGTAAGGGCTCTCACAACAGACCTTGCCGTAATTTGTGCAGTGGAATAGCCTCAGGGAAACGTGTAGCAGCACACATAATGGTGAGTAAATATTGGTTTCCTGACGTTGTTCTTGGTAGTGGACCTACTTAGTTTACTATGACGTGATCAAATGGTTGATCGACTACTTGGATGGGACATAATGGTGCAGGGGGTATAACCTGATTTGGTTTACCCTCAAGTTGACACATATGGCAACTACGGCAGAAAGCAGCCACATCACGTTTCATGCCAGGCCAGAAGAAGTGTTTTAATAGTAACTGATACGTTTTTTTGATGCCTAAATGTCCTGACCACTGGCTTTCACGAGCAAGCGCCAGGATCTTTGACCGATACAGCGTGGGTATGACAATCTGCTTAACCTTACTCCAGTCCACACTCCTAGCACCCAATGGAAACCATTGACGTATTAGCACAGCTTGTTCTATGAAAAAGGCTTGTTGCTCATTCTTAGCTTGCTCAGCACTTACCACATACTTAAAACATCGCTGCAACGATTCATCAGCCAACTGGGCCGCCGACAGATTTTCTCTGGTTAAAGGCAGTGGTATTTCTTTTACAGATGGACTAGGCTCCTCAGGGTTTACCAAGTCTGGGGAAGACAAAACATTGTTGTTGTCAGGTAATGTGGCACCCTCCTCAGAAAATGAGGACATCAACACAGAATCAGCGAGGGTAACGTCACCATCTTTACGGGCTTGGGCACGAGTAACCACACAGGCTGGGTACAGCTTTGGGGTCACAGAAATATCTGGGGCATTAGAACTGAAGGGCTTATCCAGCACCTCCAGACTAGGACGCACTAATTCGCCCGTAATATCATTTCCTAGCAACATGGCCACCCCCTCTATTGGTAAGGACGGACATACTGCGACAGGGAAAAATCCCGTAACGAGTTCTGATTTGATATAGACCTGGTGAACGGGTCTGGGAGCATAACCCATCTCTATTCCACGCAGCACAACATTAAAGCCGCATGCACTGTCTGCTGAGAAAGGTAAAGCACTAGAAAGGATTAAGGTCTGAGACCCTCCGGTGTCTCTCAGTATGCGCTTCGAGTAATGAACCGTTTTTCAATACAAGCCTCAGTGCTTCAGAAAGCTTCATTTGGCCATCACTACCGACAGGGCTGTTCAACAGACCACTGGGCATATAATTATTACATAAAGAACAAACGAAACAGTCACGTGTAAAAGCTAAGGGTTAACTAAAGCAGGCTGGCAGCACACACAATAAAAGCTAAGGGTAACTAAGGCAAGCCAGCATCACAAAACTCTAATGAAACTAAGTTCAGCTGTAAACAAAGAGCAACACAGCAAACAGGTTTAACAAACAAGATTCACATGCAGAGCAGACGAGAAGGACACTGCATGTTCACTTCAGAGCAGCAGT